CCTGGTTTAACGGGGCACCTTGCTGTCTTGGACTCGCAGGCGTCGCCTTGGCAATTCACTTCTTCCTCTTACGAGGAATCCAATCTATACAAAATAGCATGTGAGTCCTCTAAGAACAGCCTCGAAAGTGAGGTTGGTGGACGGGCCGATGAGAAAATAACTGAACCTTCCCTCCAGTTCATATCTTGTCTCAATACTCTAAGGAGAGATTCTCTCGTTGTGAAATAGTTGTGAAAGCGAATTCCATGCTTCGTCCACGGAGGGGCAGGAAATCTAGAACCTAATATCTCCTGCAGCTCCAAGTTCAAAGATTAGATTGTGATCTCGAGTAGTGAGAAGATTTCTGATGTTCACTTGACGCCTTCCGGTGCCGTTTCTCATACTGGCCTAAATACCGGTATCCGAGTACAGTAAGCCACGGCGTGAGCAATCCAGTGACGAGTTTTTTGTAGTGAAGTGAAATTCCTCAACACGAGATTTCCAGAAATTCAGTGTACGCAACAGAGTGTACCCCGATACTCTGAGTGAGTCCAAGCGGTCGATTGGTAGGGGCTTTGATTATTAGCAGTATTCTTATGCAGCAAGATTGTGGCGGGCGGGTTTGGAGAATATCAAAATATTAATTGCGGCTCCGCTTTGTTAAACCACGTCACGCGCAATTGTGCTCTTGTTCTCCATGATGTCGGGCTCTGTAGTCTCAGTTCCTAGCTTTGTTCACGGCTAGTGGAATTTAAACCCATAAGTGAAGATCACACTATGACTCCAGAAAATCAACAAGTACTTTGATTTCCGTGCATCATCTGTATCAGCCGTGTGTTCAGCCCAGAGCGAACTATTCTTTCGCCTTTTACTAAAGAATACCGTGTGCGGGACACAGAAGCGGCTTACATCAATCTTTGGAACGCTCCTTAAGTGGGGCACCACCAATAGAAAATCAATCAGCATTCGTACATACTTTCGAAATTCAGTTTCGATTAAGTATTGTTTCCAATACGCTGAGGTGGTGACCTGACAGAGCGAATTCCCCGTGAGCCGAGACAACCTGTCGGCAGCGATAGCAAGGCAGAGCTACATCGCCTCCGACGTTCAAGGCAGATATGCCAACCAGGAGGTCTTCATAGGTGGCAGTCTCACTAGAATATATGTAGAGAAAATAGGAAAGAGATTGAAATCAGCCTCTAATTTCTCCGTGCAGGAAAATGGAAAAGTTATCTCCAATTTTGAGGTAAGTCGGAAGTAAGAATGCTCAACCGCGTGACTGTACATTGGCATCTCGTTTTTATTCACAGTTCACTGCACGTGTTTCCACATACTGATCCAACTCCATTTAATTAGAAGTCAGTCGAAGTGCAGAGCTTGTTTTGTTCAGTAACTAAACTGTGTTTATGGATCTCAACATATAGCCAGGATGTTTGGACTTCCAGTCCGAATGAGCCAGAAATGTGACTTGGATCCCTTGTTGCATTAGCAGATAAAGAGCAATGAATAAACTTACTACGTTCACAAAATAAACCTACTAAGGGTTAACTGATGTGTTCTGCATTTTGAGTTTTCAACTTCGAAAGTAAGAATTTTGAATAATTGATTTTACTCTATAAGTTCTATTAATCTTTATGACTTTTTATTTCATTGTGAATTAAGAATATGAAATAAACGTAGTACTTAAATATATGTCTTTCTTCATAAATATAATCAATAATATTTTGTGTTTTGCTCATTTACTTCTCATTAAAATTTTATCAGCACATATATCATTGAAATATTATGTATAATATCTATCAGATTCTATTTAAGATTAGGCTCCAATGTTAGGAGGCTTTGAGTTGAGCAGAGTGGTAGGCCGCATCACAAATAGTTTGACAGTTATGCCATGAGCAAATAACACACATGTTGTGATCCCACCTTTGGGGTTTCCATGATCAGAGCTGGGCATTTGCACATCGTCATTTACTTTCATATAGGGTAATTTGAGAATCTGATTTTAATATTATTATCTGTATTCTACTTATCATATATGCCGTGTATGTCTGATTCCATCATCCTGGATTCTCTAAACAGGGAGCTTTTTTATTATCTCTGTTATAATGGGTCCTTTTAAGATATTAAGCCAAGCAAAAAACAACAATCGTGTGAACTACGGCGATACACAGCCTTTCACTCCGATATAGAAAAAAGAAACAATCTCTGAAATCGTGTGCAACCTGAAGATTTTTTCTCTTACAAAATTGCCTCTTTCACCATCTTCTCTTTTGCCGTTCGGTCTTTAAATTCTTCGGTAGCTGGTACGGCCTATGGTAGCACATCTCTAACATTCCTCTCTTCAAGACCGGCTTCCAAATATCTTCATATGAGCTTCTTTGGGTTTTTTTCTTCCAGATACAGATGGCTCAACTTCCCAGATAGCGTCACCCAATACTTCAGAAGGCACTTCGAAGGCGCTTTCATTGTGTCAATGGTCTCTTATGATGGAAAAAAAGTTTCATTGCCAGGCCTTTATCTTCCAGGAAGTTTATTGTTGCTTGACTTGGATGTGGGATTGCTCAAAAATAGCCTTGCTTTCACTTGGTACTTCTCTCTAACGGTGTCAACCAATCCATTTGCATGTACATGTGGAATAAGGAAGAAGAAATTTACACTACTCCCTTCTCTCTAGCTCAAAGCTTCTTTCTCATCATCTGCACATTGCCAGCAAATATCTTCTCCTCATTAATCTTCATTGGATCTCGTTACAAAACCCTCTACTACCCCTAAGCTCATGCATTCTGACACAGGTGTTCTTCTATGGCAAACACAGCTGATTTTGTATATACATATTCTCTTGGAAAAAAATCATCCCTCATCCAGTTATTCGAGAACTCATTAGTTTTCTTACCCTCATGGGATGAACAGCTTGTCCTCACAAAAATTCATCCCTATGGCCATCGCTGATCTTTCTCATTCAATATCACACATCTCCGGAAATACTTAGTTTCATCGCCATGCTAAAAACGCTCCATCCAACTCTTCCCACCTCTACAACTGACACCTACTCTTTCCTCTCTACTATTTGGGCAGGAAGCTTCATTCTAGACACCCATCCATCGGAAGTAGTGTAACCACATCTGGACTCCGTACACTATATGAAATCATTTTGTTACATAATAAGTGCTTTTAATTGCAAAGGCAAAAGAAATCATATACATGTACTTTAAACTCCTAGCCATGTTCCTACAGTTCTCCACACGTTAAGCCTATTTAGTTCGCAAAATGAGTTTGAAAATGCAAAAGAAGTTCACAATAGGACCAATACCAGGTTCTCAACTCTCAGTTCAATACCATGAGATTGTGTTTGAAGAGTTGAATTCTTTTGTCTGGCCATTGGCATTATTACTTCATCCCTGAATGTCAGGTATTGTAGTGAGTGTACTCTTTACGGGCTCTATGACTAAACCTTTTGTGAAGCCCTCCTAATGACACTCTCCATATAGTTGGTGATATCACCAACTATCAGAAGATGTCATGAGGTTGGTGTATTCAGAGGGGATGTAGAGCTCTTAGAATGTTCTAGACACATTGGCCAAAACTTTTGAGCCATTGCTATATTGTGGGGGAAATATCTCAATCATTGAATCTTTATGGCCAGCTGATACTTCTCCTTCCCGCATGAGCCGTCTACACTCACCACCACTTTGACATGACGGCACAAAAACTCTGGTATTATCCCACGGACAGTATGGGGAGCAGCAAAAATGAGCATTGGAAACTGAATATGTACCCTATTTTCAACCGGGAGTTCACCCTGAAAATATAAAGTTTAATAGTGCAGGGTTACATGTATTAACTATAGGTGGAAACATTCTGTATAAATGTGTCTCTCGGATTCTAGTCGCTTGTGAGATATATACTCCCTTCGGCTTTCAAAATATCTCCCACGATCCAGTACTTGGACTTCAAATCCATATACTAGCGTAGTGATTCTGTACTTACCGAGAACTTTCTATGTAATTTGGATCATACGGTCTTCAATCAATTTAGCTTTCTCGATCTTAGATTGACAAGTTCTGCTTTAGGTTCCCTCCCCCAAGCTCCACCTTCCAACCCCGACGGGTCCTGAAAAGTCCCCGAGACGGTCAGAGGTAATATCTGTATATTTTGTATCTGTCAGTGTGCAGGCTTTGAGCTTGAAGCTCACATGATACTTTCAATTAAATTACTATCCACATTGCTATCTGGCCATTCCTGTGCGATGATGGAATGATTAGAGTGTTTACTTGCTTCTCACTAAGTGAAGCTGCTTGCTTGTTCTATCGATTGCCACTGTTTATGCTCATTACTTGGCCAGGAATATCATCTATTATGACGTATTGGTCATGAATATTATACCATTGCACTGTCTGTGGCTTGCCGATATTATTCTCAGGTTTCAACTAGTTTACTCAATACTGTCAAGAATGTACATTTCTCACTGTAAAGAGACAATGACAAATATATAATTTGTTATATATTAGTTTATAATATTTGTTATATTCGTTTAGTTATTATATTCGTTGCTTCAGATTTAGCACAGGTTTCTACATTATATTTTCTCAGCCAGTATTTCCTCGCAAAGTTTTCTTACATTAAATTTTACTATTTTTCATCTTAAATAGGGCTTTATTTTCTATACTTTGATTTTCGAACGAAATTTATGTTATTTAATGTAATATGATTCTATCAAGAAAGTAAATGACAGAAGTTTAACTTGTGAATACTAATAAATAAAAAATAATTACATATTTTGGACATTGCATAAATTTATAATATATACTCTAAAATTACTATTTCTCGGTTTTCTCACTAGCCGATTGGGGTTAAACTAGGATATGTATATATTTCCAATCAATTCAAATCATTAAGGTGAAACTTAACTCAGTACCAGTTGCTGTGTAATTACAAAGTCTTCACATTATAGAAGATATGAGTACTTGCACGCTTACAACTCAGTTTTGATATACATGATGCAATAATAATTACTAATTATGTCCGTTGGTTACTTTTTGAACAAACACCAAAATGTAAAATGTACGCAAATATATCTCATACTTTTGCGCAGAGAGTTGATGACATTTGCTCACGATGAGCCTCTTTTAAGTATATTATTCACCGTCATGTAAAAACTACCATACCTACTCCTCAACAAGAAGAAGCTGATTTTTCTGCTATACAATATGCACGTGTGCATCTCAACAAAACCCAATGGATTCAGAATTTTTACTGACTAAACAAAACCAAGCTTCTACCCATGTATCTATTCGTAAGTGGAACATAACGCATTCAGTGATCATAGCTTTCCAAGAAAACCTTCCCGCCCCGACCAGGCTTGTTGCCTTCAATCATAGCCTCCTGGAATTCCTCTAAGGGGAACTTCTTTCCTGAGAGAGGCTCAAGCACCTTCTGCCTCATAAGCTCAAAAATTTCCTTGGAAGTCTCTTCTCTCTTGGCTAAGTCATGGCCGAGATCGTTCACCAGGAAAAATTTCAAGTCCACACCCCTCATCAAATCCTTGACATCCAGTTTCACATCGTTTCCTGACAACGCACCGTATGCAAGAACTTGGCCGCCATTCCGTACACTCGCGAACAAGATCTTGGTCATGTCACCGAGTACCGGATCCAAAGCTCCATAAGCTTTCTTTCCTCCCGTGATTTCATCCACCTTGGCAGGAATGTCTTCTGTCTCTGAGTTTAGAACGTAGTCGGCTCCGATGTCCTTCAACTCCTGAATGTGTGAATCTCTCCGCACGATGTTGATAGTTTTGATACCCCAGTGCTTTGCCAAAGTAATCACTTGCCTGTGTAACAAAGAGGAGACACATGCATAACATATTTCATCAGTCCACGAGGAAGATCGAAGGTGAACACGATGCCCACGGGTCTCACACACTCCGCAGTAAAAAACGACAAACATATTGCTTCCATCTTCACGCGAAATGCAGTCACTATTGAACGAGTGGATGGTGGGGTGTTACTAAACAATCTGCACAAAAATGTCTGCTTCAAACTCTTAGCAATCCTCACGAAGATCTGACTCCAGTGCAGTCGCAGAATATAATTCCCGCTTCACTAACGCTAGTAATAAAATCTATCACCATGAGTTGGAAACATCGACTCACCTTCCCAGGACTGAGGCCGCAGCTCCTTGAATCAGATACTCTCCTTTGGGAATGTTGAGCAGCTTCAACATCTGGTACAAAGCCCATGGGTTGATGAAGAACTGAGCCGCGAACTCATCTGGGATGTCATCAGGAACGGCGACACAGTCCTTGGCGGGGATCTCCACGTAGTCTCTCCACAAACCATATCCTTCGGGATAGTATCGTCCGAAAATGAGTGGAATAACCCTCTGTCCTTTCTTGAAGTTGGTCACTCCCTCTCCCAACTGCAATCGTCAATCCCAGAGCCATTACAGATCGTCCGAAAATAATCGCCTGAACCTTAACAGCACAGCATGCAAAGGACTGAACAGTATAACTTTGAACAGAAGGCTATCTGCATGTCGTAGTTTAATACCTCATAGACGACTCCGGTCCCCTCGGAACCAACAACAAGCTTGTCGAGGTCGTGACCTGCCCACACGCCCCACTGAATGACCAGCGAGTCCGTGGGGTTCACAGGGCGGAGGGTCAGTCGAACAACGACATTTCCTGAACTGGCTTTCGGAATATCCTTCGTCACCAGCTTGTACAGCTCCACGGGGTCACCAATCGTTGCAGTGGGAACAACCGCTCTCGACATCTTCTCGTAATTTAAAGTCTGACTGCTCGCAAGATATCCACAGACTTGATCAGGAATGGCAATGTGTATACAATCTAGATAGGATTCACTCAGACTAGTGATCTCCCAAGCCCGAGAGGGCAAACAAAGCTGCATGCAGTTGTGAAAACCAACCCATCTTACCTTCAGGAGGAGTGATGTATGGCGGTGAGGAAATTACACTTCCGAGGGCCGACAGTAGACAGATATACGGTAGGACACTCTGATCGCTCTTATACACGCAGCAATTGCACAGGGCTAAATTCGCGGATAGCTGAGCGTTCATTTGAAGAAGGAAACTGAACAGGAAATTTCCAGGGAAGGGCACATGTCACGTGAGCGCGATTCAAGCCGTCCATCGTCTTCTTCTTCCCGGTTGTTTGGCAAACGAGCCCTTGAGGGAAGGCAGGAGAGGACAAACGCCCATAAATCTGAGGCCGAAAACTTTCAGAGAGGGTGCAATTTTGTACAACGGAAGAAATAGACCAAGGCTTGATAGAAATTGGAGACATCGAGGAATAAAGCACTAAGGCTCTAAGAATAAACCGCTCAGCAAATAAAGGACGAGTCCACTGTTTAAACAGTTGCGATGAAATGGATTCCTTTTTGAGATCAACGAAATATCGCTCACACTACGCATAAAACAGAGTCCCTGTTCTGTGAACAGTTTGTTACAATGGTGAGGTCGAGCCCTCCACTCGATTCGTTCTAACTTGTGTGGTTAGTGCGTATCTTGCCTTCATACCTTTTTTCTCAGAGGTATTTTATATAAAATCCTGCTGTGAGGAGTTCGAAGGCCATAGACGGCCCAAATAATTGAAAAGAGAAAAGAGGCTAATCCAGTAAACAAAAAAATGAGAATTGAGATCTGACGGAAAAGAGGAATCCTACCAAAAGCTGACCTGACCTGCTTTAACACACTTCAAAGGGGTTTCTCTTTAAAATAAAATATCCGTCAATCTGATCCCAATCACGATGTACTTGATGCACTGTTCTGTTTTAGAGATTACTACCTTTCATAAACCTTATCTCTCTTGAAACTATACTCTTCTCTTTCCTAAGTCGGAAATGATGACTTTCAGATATTTGATTCTTAGTGTATTGCCAGAAGATGAACAGTTTGATCCAAACTCTTATTTTCAAAACACATTTCTTTTAAGTTTTCTTTTCGAGATAAACTTTTTGGAATCATCTTGTGAATTGACCACGGCGGAGGCTAGCCTCGTATAAAGTTTGAACAACTCTGAACTGTGGTCAGAGTCCTTCTGGCCTCGTTTTTCTCGTGTGGTATACTGGAGGGTCCTCATGCTACTATTACAAAGAGCCCCAGTGCCGACTGAGAGTTTTCGTAATGTTGGAAGGCGAGTTTTCGTTGTGATCAACATGATTTGGAATAAAACATAGCTCTATCGTGCGATGCATGGATATAATTTCTTCTTGTAAGAATTACTCGAGGAAGACGCCGACTTTGAACGAAGGCAGGAAATATCAATAACACAGCCCTCTCTACATCCGGATCAAGGGCCAAGAGAAACGGGAAGCGGAAACGAAAGCATGCACGAAGGTTCGGTTCGACTTAAAACAAGGTGGACAAATGCAAACTTTTCAAGCTGACGACCGTCTTCAACCTCCCGGAATTAATGTCGAGCCGAAGCCGCTGTCTTGCATTGGTGTACTGTAATCCAAACCTGAAACCGTCCCTGGACGTTTGTGGGCACTTCGTGAGAAGGAACCCGGCGCTTGCCATCTATAGTATGCACATGCTTCGCCTTCAGCTGCCATGTAAACATGTTGCTGTCAGGAGCCAGGGAGATGGTACAGAGTCCGTTGCCCTCGCGCAGAGCCATTTGGTGACCAGATGCATGATAGAGTTCTTTTCTCCTACCCGACAACGTCATCCTCTCGTCGCCGTGATGGCTAAGCCTCGGCAAGGTAATGTAACTCTTTAGGGTTACCCGGTAAAAGTGTAAAAGGTAAAGTTAATACGTTTGGCTATAGGGTAACGTAAAGGTAGAGCCTCGCGGATAACCCGGTAATTACCGGGTATGGTGGATATTCTTCTGCACAGACTAAACCCTTCTTACCACGAATCTCGTACCCGCGAAAAGCAAAAACTTAGTCGAGAGTTCGAGACTCTCTCGCCCCAACTGTTTGTGTCCATCACAATGAGCTACGTGAAACTCTGTGGCAATGAGCTATAAAAGAACCAATCCACAGTCGAGAGAAAGTCTTGCCAAAGTACAGTAAGACTGCAGTTGAAAAGTTGTAATTTTTGGAAGCGGAAGTGCCAACTTTGGGTAACTACTGCTGCCATGTCTGCGGATCGGTGAACATCGATGAGATTGATGTTTCCCTTGATTACAGCAAAGAAACTAGAATGGAGTCCTGTAGTCAGGTGCTTATGCCATGCTATCGAAAAAGTCTGCCATTTCCTCCACACCCAACCTGTCACATCCCCTATTTATCTACGACTACCAAACTAGTAAAGATAGATTTAAAAGGTAACCCTGATAGGTTAACGATAAGAGTAATTTTTTAAATTTTTAAATCCTTACGAGTTAACCGGGTAAAAGTTATACCATAGTGCTACGTAAAAGGTATACTATAGTGCTATGTAAAAGGTAAAAGGTAGAGGACTGTGCCTTACCTTTTACGTTACCTTGCCGAGGCTTAGTGATGGCCAACGTCTCCTCCATTTGCTCCTTTGTTTCTTTCTACTACTCCTGGATTTCTCAGGCCATAAACAACAGCCCGAAAAGTACTCGTACTTAAATTCAGTCGCAACGACTTCAGAGTCTTTCCGGCATTCCCCAAATTGGAATCACGAACGATGGGAACACCATATCGGGATTAACAAGGAACAAAGCCATTTGGAGCCCACGGGCTCGGTCCCACAAGTATTGCAAGGGGACACCAAGTAATACAGCACAAATCAATGGAAGTTGTATTATAAACTCGAAGGAATACGATGGGGCTATATCCCAACTATATATTTGTATTATTGCACCTAAAATACTTTCATTATTCCAGTTCAAGTATCTCCTTACAGCATGATCATCCTGAGAATCATCACCTATCATGATACCTATACTATATAGACTACATCAACTACACTTTTCGGATCAATTATTGATGCAAGTTGATTAAAATATGTTCACAGTGTTTTAATGATTTTGTATTTGTGCATGCTCTCAACGTTGTCGTGTTCTGGAATGACTATCATGACAAAATGGAGACATCGTTCATCTTCAAAGTTGTTTTGAAAATAATAGCCTACGTCAGTATCACTGATTTCTCAATTCTTTGCTCCTCTCTGTAACCCATAGTTGAATTGACTTTCTGAGATGAAGATGTAAAATTTTTGGCAAGAGAAATTAATCTCGCACTAGGTCCAATGTAAAGCGTGGTGAGGGTGAAATGGAATAACGGACATGTAGACCATTTCTTTGTTGAAGATATTATTTATCATATCGCAGCGAAACCAACATGTGCGGCATAGACTGAAGGCAACACTAACTTAAACTTAACGATGTCCAATACATTTGTTTTAACATAAAACTTCATTATCACGATCACTTTCGTGGATAATCAGTATATCATTTTGAAGAGAACTTTGTGAAACCAATTATAATAATTCTGTAACTTGAGTTCAGCTTGGATCGTATTAGTCTTGTAATAATCACTTTTAAAATTCCATTTGTAACTAAAAATTTGAAATGTGATTCGAATTTAAATCTATATATTTGATCCATATTTTGACTTAATTTTTTTATTTAATAATTTTATATTTTGACTAAGTACCTTATTTAGATCAGTTGTTATATTACAAGTAAATATGGATGAAATTATACTTCTAATGCGGATGTTCATAACATTTTGTATGTGGATTGATGAAGAAAAGAAAATCATCATCTCAACTTGAGTTTCTCTGGTATTATCAATCATGCAGTCACTTCTTTTCTAATGGATCAATAGTCATGCTATAACATGTCAAAAATGTAGTCCCTGATTCAAAGGTAAATGAACAAAGATTCCATCGCTTTTTCTTTCGCGAACTGTAGATATTTATCATTGTGGCACTTTTTTTTCACGATCAAATAATCACTCGAATGATATGAGTAGCAACCTTAGGCCAGATGTATGTTGATATCAACATGAATCAATTGGACATACCAACAGACTTTTCAAGTGAAATAACCATAGATATATTGTCACAACAAATATTCCATATCAGATGATATCATTGTTAATTACACTATACACTTCGGACAATGAGTTACATGTATCTATATGATGTTTAAATCAAGATCACGTGTAATATCTAAGAAAGAAACGGGATGCGGATGTACCAAGTCGATCTAAATCTTCTTATAAGTATAACCCAAACAAGTTTGAAAGCGTGAATCCGATTGTTGTGCAAATTTGTAAATCCAAGTGAGCTCCTTTCCTCGATGTAGACAAAACAGAGGTTGACATCTCCTACTCTTCTATATATAGTTACTTAGTTCCCTACCTAAAAATCTCGAGAATCAGTAAGATTCTTACGAATGATACTATCCGCCACAACAATGTTACTGAGAATCCTGACTCATTTGCACCACAGCCGAGTTTAGGCCATTAAGTCCATGTGTCAACTCCAGAAGCTGCGCACGAAGCTGTGTCCATGTTTGGAAGCGGCCCTGCGCATGAATCTGTCTCTCGTTCGCGCAACATGACAAATCCGCCTCTCGATCTATCATGATCGGGGCTACCCTACACCTGTTACCCGCTTTGAGCTCACTGACAGGTTGGGGTTTTGTAGACGAAGACGGGCGATCGGCAAACACGTACAAAGGACATCCCGATTTTTCCGGGTTTGCAACTGATGGCGGACGAAAACTCTCGATTGTGCATCCCAGCGATAAAACATGATGATGACAACGCCGACGGCTGTAATGCTTCTGCACGAGGAACTGCATCTATATTCACTGATGTTTAGTATATGTCATCCCGCACGAGGAGTCACGTTGCCATGTACACGGTCCGAAGCTTCGAGAGCTTCTCGAGACCTAGCTCTGTTCTACGAGTGCTGTAGCCATGAATATCCCAAAGTATCTCGTTAACAATTTGAAGTGACAAAAACATCCTCATATCCATTGACAAGAACAGTCTTCGTTGGGCCGCCCTGGAGATGTTCGACAATTTCTCTCTCGTTCCTTCTGAAAGAACACAAGCCGTCTGTAAAGCATATCTCTTGAATTTTATGATTTAATTTGCACACGTCACGGTGCCGTATGACAAGACATTCGGCAATGGGAATCCCTATGTCTATCTTCGACAGGCAAATACATCCAGCAGACTGACGTAGATTCACGAACTTCACCGAGATCTTGCGCGGAAAATCAACCGCATAATTGGCTTCCAATTTTAAACCAGACACTTCTCACAGAGCAGAATTCGGACATACTTCATCTCGTCGAGTAATCTTGTAAAATAAATGGCTTCTATTGTCATCCTCGTTTTGACGTAATCTTGTAAAGGTATCATAGAGGAATCAAATATATGCAAATAATCAAATAGATGATTGCCTTCTTCTTAGATTGAGACCGGTATTCGTTCACTCAAGTTGACTTGAAGTTAACATCAACTTTGTAGAAGGTGAGATTTGTACCCGGCTCATACTTTTTCCTCAAATGAATACAAGTCTTGAGCACACATTTAGTATATCCAAGTTGTGTAATATAAATTTAGACGTACATTTTCCATAATTTGATCAAAAGATTCTATTTTCAAAAATTTAAGTAGAAAATATCCATTTGACTAATTTTTTTCTTAATTTTTCACTTTATTTGTTTGATCTTGATAAGGTTTGGGAGATTTTTTCGTACCAACTTCCAGTTTAGCTAGATAACATCATGTACTACTTATATAGTCACTCAATATTATTTGTAGTTACGTAGTATACATATGTGATAAATTGAACACTAGTGATGAAATCATAGTTGTTGGAAAGACATGCATGATTGCTCATCTACCACTTTTTATTCCAATAGATTTTGTCATTGCATACTCAGAATTTTCAAAGAATTTATTTTTTCATCCATACTCTCTCAGAATTTTGTTATTGCAATATATCTTTAAGTCCTATCTTGTAAGATCATAATATGTATTCTAAAATATAATTCACATAGATTTATGCAATTACAAAATTATATTTTAAAATTTTCTTTTCAAAAAATTTGAATGTTTTTATTAGATGCTTACATTTAACACAAATTGATCATAAAGTTTCCAACATATTATTTTAAAAACAAAATAAAATAAAGTAATGTCTCAATGCAAAAGAAAAACAAACTCAATTGACATGGTTCATCTTACTCAAGTCACTTGAATAAATACAAATATTTTTTTAAAAAATCTAAAATTAAATGCTAACAATAACTAAAATAAGTTTTTTTAAAAATATAGCCTAGATAAATGTACTATTTTTTTAAAGTTAATCTGTTTAGAGTTGACCAAAATATTATTTCACTTCTGACAATCTTATTGTTGACTCATATTGAGGATTGCAATCTTCATGACATACATGATTATTTTGTAAAAATTTGTAAAGTAAACTTTACATAAAATTCTTTGTGAACTATAACATAATAAAATTAATCCTAAGTCAAGACATGATAGTTAATTATGAAATTGTCTATTTTGTTTCTTTTGGTGTTGCTACATGCTCAATAAGTAATCAAACTACACAATATAATTGTTCAACTTATGCTTCCAACTTGAAATGTAAACAGAGATCAAATTATAGATTCTTCTCATTCAAATCTGATCATAATTGACATCTACATATCAATCATATGACATTGTTCAATTTTGCATAAGAGTTAGAATCATAATCTAATGTATTTTGTACATATCTATTTCACATCATACAAATTTATATTTTTTAAATTTTTAGTAATGTTTAATGTAATGTTTTTAGTAATGTTTTCTAGTAATGTTATTCATAGCAAGACATTGTAAAGCCTAATGCAAATGATCAATAACCAAATAATTTGTAGATCCTTGAGAATCAAAATTTTTTCAACATAATTTGAAAGATATGGAATTGATGAAAGCTTGAATTGAGAACTCATATAAGTACATTAATCAATTGCTTAAGTCCGCATTGTGATCTGGAACATCTAATGCAAACTAAACCAGGATGCGGACTTAAGGTTTTCATTAGAAAAAATCAAATTTTTGATGAGAATCAAACCGTTGATCTTTGAAGAGTGATTTATTCAGCAAAATGAGCTTGCGACGATCCGTTAATTGTAGAGTCGAGGACAATCATCTTAACGAGCGACATCAAATGGAGATAATTGCATTGTTAGATAAGCAATTTTTGCTTTCAATGCACAACATTGTCCGTCAATTTGAAATGGATGAGAATACAATTTCGGAATCAAAGTCCAACAAAGACAAAATCTGTGATAAAGCTCAGAAAGTAGATCAAACTACATAGGAATTCACATTTTGTGCATCTCATGAAACTTTTCTTGAACTCAAAAAGAAGCTATTTGAATGAATTGAAGCAGATGATTGTATGTCACTTGCATTGATCTTCATGATTATTTTTCATAAGGCAAAACTTATTGCATCTCCTCTAGAAATACCAAAGGAGAAATTTAAAGCTTCTTGGGGATGGTTTTCCGGTTTCTGACACTAGGACGAGTTGATCTCCATCAATCTTTTTTGAAAAAATGGAAAAGTCAACAAAAATGATCCTAAAATTATCAAAGCTTTTGAAAAGTTGGATTTCATTATTGATCGGTATGACTCATCTTACGTCTACAACATGAATGAAACAAATTTGTTTTTTTGACTTGTTTTTCGCTATACAATTCTTTTGTCAAAGATGTTTCTACGGTTTAAGGAAAAAAAAGTCAAAAGATCATGTAATTCTTGTTGTATGCTGCAATGCTACAAGCGAATACCAATTACTATGATTGAAAAAGCCAAAGAGCCAATATGTATTGTAGGAAACTCTTGGCCAATTTCATAAATGCAATAAAAGAATGCTTAGATTAACGTTGAAACCTTTAACCAAAGATTTGATGAGGTTTTTGAGACTTTCGTGCGGAAACGCAAAGGCAATAAATTGTTGCTAATTTTAGACAATGCACTTGGTCATTTGATACCGTTTGAGCAAAACAGAATTTGTGTGATGTTTTTCTCTCCCAATGTCACGTAGTAGAAACAATCCATGGAGATAATTGCCGCCATTGAAAAAACGATACAAGTATCTACTAATCAAGGACATCATCGCTTATTATGATAATCTTGAAGCCGTGAACAATTGAACTCTGATGCATAAAAAATGAAACGCAGTGGTGCATGAGTTATTTACACCTCATCTGCGTGACGCTGCTAACTTTGTTAATATTGCATGGATGACATCTGAGCACAAAGTTTAAAAATTGTTTTGAGAAAGTAGATCTCATTTCCAATTTTTGCAATATCAACAATACAATCTGCGATGATAACAATTTTGAGATCAATGTGGATTTGTTCCAAAATTAATTATAGCCTTCTGAATGATGTCGATGATTCAAATCTCTGCGTTGAGATCCAGTAGTGTTTTGACGACGATAATGATGAATCCAAATTCTGAAATCTAATTGAGTTGATTGACAAATACTGTCATTATTGCTGTTAAAAAGGAATCTCATGACAATGATAGTGAATTCGATCACGAAGACTTGAATATGATTGAAACGTCAATTGACCAACGAGATGTAATCAATGAATCACTACGACATGTTTCCAATTTGTTAATCAGTTTAAATGATCTTCGAAGTCAGCATTTTTGTCTTTGAAGCAAATTTATCATGCGAAGTTAGCACTGTTCACGCTTCGTCCTATCTTCTTAGTAGTCGGTCAGCAATCACTTGCGAGGCCATAACAAACGGTCGTCAAATGACTTTTTTTGACTTTATGCATTGAATAAATAATAAAATATTGATCTAGTTTTTTGGGAAAAAAAATTGTAGACTTAACCTGGATGCAGACTTATATGAATGCGGAGGTAAGCAAATATTTAATGTAATGACAATCTTGTAGCTATTCATTTTCAACCTTTCTAAAATATTTGCTTTGAATAAATCAAATCTTTAAAAGTTTTAATCTCAAAATCTTCTTTTTTGCATCAAGATGCTATATCATAAGCTAATATTTCAAGAAAGTCTTGAGCTTATCAAATTCAAATCTATATATAACTTTGATTAGCATGTTAATCACATAATGTATTAGACAATGGAAGTCCAAAATTTTTTTATTCATCTTTTTGATGTGTACATAAATATTAAACACACTCGATTGAATCTTTGGTATATTGTGAAATCATCAAATTGCTTTTCAATCGTTTACAATTTTACAAGGATTTTTAGCAATCAATAATCACAAATCCACACCACAAGCAAAATAGTACAATTTTTAGCAATTGAAAAATATATTTCATTCTTATAGTTGGAATTTTATTTTTTTCCATAATGCTTGGAAGAAGTTGACACATTTGACACATATCAAGTTGATATGATCCACATCTGTTGAGTTCCACCTCTTAAATAGCACATAAAAAATGAATCCGTAAAATATTCAATAGCCAATAAAAGACCATGCAACACACAACAAATTGATGTGATTGTGTATGTACAATATCATGATACCAATAATTACAGAAAGTAATTATAATTCATTTTGAAGTTCCGAATCTTGGAATCGCAGAGCGTTCTGTATTCGTAAATGGCTTATTCCATGTCGAAATAAATCCGGTGCATAACATGATTTATCTCCATCGCAGTGCTTTGCTCCGACGGACAAACCGGGAAAGGTACCGGGAAAGGATGAGCTCCGGTCTTTCATATTCATCCGAATCTGCTCTGTGCTGAACCTACGAAAGGGCGGGAACAACCGTTGCGTTCCGACATAGTGCTTGGAGCTGTATAGTTTTGAGCCCTTCAGCGTCAGACGGCACGGCACGATTCATGAGACCCCTGCGGTCTTACTCTTGACTCTGATAGAATCTTGCTGCCACCTTCGAGGGAAGCAGGGTTCCAGACGCAGGAATCTGGAATCGAAATGTAATCGAATCGATGGTCTGATTAAGCCATATAGTCATCGAACCATTAGCCGTAGGTTCCCCAGCAAGATCCAGTGTGCGCCGCATCAGCCGTGACGAAGCAGGCGAGAGGATTTGTCCGTGGTCAGGTGTTTGTTACATTTGACGAGGAACTTCGAGACTTGGACGAGCGAAATATTTGTCGTGGTTTGTTGTGGAAATATGTCTTTCTCCGAATTGCCGTACGGGCTGTCGACGTCATGTTCCAGTATGTGGGTCATGGTTCTGAGCCGTGGCGAGAACTGGAAAGAGTTCTGCGTGGAAGTCAAAATTTAGGGTAGCAGATATCGAAGATTGTTGGTAGTATTGGACAGGACGAGAACATCCTCGTCAAGATGGTTCACTCCATGGAACAAGTCGAGAATACTGCATTCATCAAGGAATTTCAGCGTAGAGAGTCCAAGTTAGTTCCCTGTGTAACCTCACGTCTCACCACTCACCGTATAAGTTGAAGTTTCGGCTACAATCTAATTTCCGACAATCTAATCCCTTCTGAAACAAATAGACAGTGACATCAGTAATCTGCTGATTTTATGGATCGTTTTTCTGATAGACAAATCGAAGCAAATGCATTGGTTGTACACTCGGAGATTCATGTCTCAATGGATTCTAAACCAGCCAAATCTCGCCCTAATCTGCTATAAAGTGGGTTACTGATACAGGGACTCCATACACTTCTTAAAGAATCTACCGGCGGATAAGAAAGCCGAGCTAACCGGCAAGAGCGAGTATCTCAACACAACTGCCCCTCTGAAGTCAGCTCTGAAGAACACCACAGCGAAAGATGCTCAAGCTCACATGTCCGATACGGAATTACTGAATCATCTTTCCATGGTCTGCAAACAGTTTCCTCTCTGCCTTCCTTGTAGGTTATTCATTATTTCGAGTGGGATCGTACGCACAGTCCGATTACACTTCATTTTTGCTCCAGCCCTGTTTGGAAGGGCATCTCACCGCGCTTGAGCATTCTGTTTGCTCAAGCGTCGATATCAATATCTCTTCACAACAACTTGTACGGTAAGCCAGGACTTGAAGCAATCGAAGCTTCAAGTCGTGCGAGAGGTCTTTCCCTCTAAAGACGTCGCACTCGTCTTAGACGAAGTTCTGAGTTGAGTTGGCTGTGAGCACCGTAGCGTTTAAAACTTGAGCATGAGGAGATTGCACATCCTCAACGGAGCTCCTCAATACTCGTCTAGGTAGCATGAAGTTGCGGTCTCTGCACGGCGGAAGCGAGCTCATTGGAATTCACCGAAGGCGACCACCAACGCGGGGATTTCTAGACAGTAATTGACACCAACCAACTGAACTGCCAGAATCACGACTTTACGTTTTTATTATCAGCATCCCGACATTCCTCGTGTTGTGTTAGCATTGTTTGAGCTGCAGGTCTGACAAATTGTAGGGTCAAGGACTCATGGCAGCAAGCCTTCAGACCAGCTGGCGTGAAGAAAATTGTCCTGAAGAACAGGTGTAGTGTGTTAAAAGGGGTTAGGGTGAAGAAGCTTTCATCAGACCTAGAACTCTGTTGATATTCTTCGGAGTTCTAGGTTGTGGTTGATTGTTGACGATTGTTGCCAAGAGTATCGTCAATCGTGGAACTCTTTGCGTTGCAGAACTTATGGAGACGAATCAATGCAGGATATATGATCGAAAGGCGTAAATGCTTGAGCCTTTCCAGAGATAGCTACCAGTATGACTCGAAACTGGTGAGACCACCTTCCGTATACTGCATCACAACTAAGTTTGCGCGACAAGTTCTGCAGAAGGACCCAGTTCGATTCAAGACAAAGCATCTGATCATCACCATCCTGTTGTCAACTGTAGGCATTGAGTTTGCTGAGCAAACTCAATGAGTGAGTAGAGCGGAAGATAGGAAGATGTCTTTGCAGGTTTTGACTGGCTCATTTGTTGGGTATTTGCAGCTTGAAAAGACCGACAGGGAGTTCATGCACAAGAGGGACATGTTCTCTGAGTACGTAGAAGCTGCAGCTCGATTCAAATGTCTTATCAAAGACGGTCATGTGGCTACCGTCCCCAAGTACGTGCCGCGAGCACTTCGTCCTCAAACGCCAGGTAGAAAGTGGTATGCACCTGTCATGAAGCTGCCGCCTGGCTACAAAGAGTCTGGTCAAGCTACAACTCCGGCAACTCCACCGGCAAAATAACTTGTTCAAAGCTCGGCGTGCCAAGCTATCGAAATATTTTGTTCCTGGATGTCACTGAATGACTAAGCTGTTCCAACAACTGCGGCAACAACGAATAGAAAGCAGCCAAAATCTCACCTTTTCGGTTTCAAGCCCTCCAACTTGCTGTACGAGGAAATAGCAAATGAAGTTATAAAGAGTTGCTCTCTTCGGAAATTTCAGCAAATTCCGCAAATAACAACTATATATTGAACTTTCTTGGGGTGTTGTTGAGGTCACACCCTCGAAACCCTTCACTGCAAGGAATGTCGAGCATTATCGCGGGGAGGATATAAAAAGAAGGTATCAGGATTCGCCTCGTCGACAGTGTAGCCTTAAACTTCCTCGAGCCAGCGTGCTTCTGCAGTCTCCTTTAAGAGAGATACCATTCACACTTCAATTCTACGTAGGCATATTTACATTGGCTCGCTTGAGACCAAGTTTGTTCGACCTTAACATGCATGTAGTGTACCTGAACGAACGAAAGAATCTGAACTCCAGTCAAGAGACTTGAAATCAAATCCACTCAACTCATCGTCGGAGATACCATGCAGAGTCCGAACATATGCCAAACCTTCTCTTGACAGAATTGCTACGCTTTATGTCTTCGGGAAAGCAAATAGACCTTTCCGTAGATATACAGAGAGAAAAATTTGAGCAGACAATCAGGCTCGGAGTTAAATGTATTTCTCTATCTGGACTGGTCCTACTGAAACCCGTTATCCGAACAATGCTCGTTATGAGATTCGATTGCCGGTCTAGTCTATTTGGAACGAACTAAATTCCGTGAAATAACGAGCAATTTTAGGTCCCCGATTGTTTACGAGCAAGTAACGTCCTCAATAAAAAGGTCTCCAAATCTTTACTCACGAGAGGTAAGAAAAACCGAACCGAACAAAAGATTCAACCTTTGGAGGACCCTCGGTGCTCAGCTTCTGTTAGACACAATCAGCTCTCCATCGGTACCCAGGTGTGCCACTGGCGCTGAAGGCTCTCACAAAGAGTTGAGATAGTTGAACTCGACTACGCACTACAACGAGGAACTCTGGAGTTTTAAGGTGCGGGTTACACCTCAGTCATGAATCAATTACGCGAATGCAAGAAGCCAACCGATGATCACCTGCGTGTGCAGCTGGGCTGATCACCAGAGAATTTATAGTAGAGATGACGATGTTTACTGATTTCGGGTCAAGGTGTGTGAAAACTTCCATGGAGAACCAACGAATCGAAGGACTGACGGTTTTTTTTTCGGTGGAGCTCGGCTTAGCATATTTAACAAAGGTATGTCTCAGGGCCGTCCGGACGGGTGATCGCCTCATGGCTCTTTTGCATTTCTGCCACTGCTTCAGGAAAAGTTGGTGACGGTCAAACGGATTCTAAAGTGGAACGGGCCCGTTACACTTGTGTACAGAGTGCCAGTCCTGATCCTTGCCAGAACCGTGTTCTCTCTTGTTCATTCAAACTGATGAGCTCGCATCTGATGGCAGATCTCACTCACGCGATGCCACTTCCGCCATTGACTCTGAGAATTTGACCATTGACCCAGGCGGCATCATCGCTGAGCAGAAACTTGACGACGCCTGCAATGTCTTGGGGCTGACCCAGGCGTTCGAGGGGGGCCATGTTGGTCAAGGCGGAAATCTGCTCCGGCGATTTTCCAGCAAATAAGAATTCACCAGCAATCGGACCCGGGGAGATGCAGTTGGCCGTGATGTTCTTGCCTCGGAGCTCCTTGGCCAGAATCTTAGTGAGAGCCTCGACGGCGGCCTTGCTGGCGACGTAAGCAGAGTAGCCCGGATTGAGAATGACGGCCAGAGAGGTGCTGCAGGTGAGAATTCGACCACCGGACACGAGTCTCTTCTCAGCTTCCTTGCACACGAGGAAGGTGCCCTTGGTGTTGACCGTGAAAATTCTGTCCCATTCTTCCTCCGTCGTGTCGGCCAGCTTGGGAAGGTGGGAGGCGATGGTGCCCGCAAGGTTCACCACCGCGTTCACATGGCCGAACGCCTCCTCCGCCCTGTCGAACGCATTCTTCACGTCTGCTGCCACAGACACATCTCCTTTCACAGCCATGGCCTTCCCCGCGCCCCAATTCTCATAAATCTCAGCTACAAGTACATCTGCAGCCTTCTCATTCCCAGCGAACATTGTCACGACTGACCACCCATTCGCTGCCAAGCTCAGCGACACTTCGCGCCCGATTCCCCTCGACCCTCCCGTCACGATGACCACCTTCCTCCCTCCTTTTGATCCTTCGGCCGATGTCATTCTTCTGCTTCGAACGCAGTACAGATGTGTTGATCTTTTCGGCCAAATATGAAGAAAGAAAATGCCTGAGAGCACGAGTTTGACTCACCGTGCAACCAACCTTCAAAGTCTCCAGCAGATCGACAGATCGATCGATCGATATGATTATAATACTGACTTCTGTGACGTTGTGAAGAAGATGATTGAACCTCGGGAAGGAAAATTTAGCTCGGCAGACCACAGAGGTGAGGAGCGAACACTGCTCTGGGGAATTCGACTGCCGGCTTAAACGACACACGGGATTTGAAGGTTTCTTTGCACGCTTACACTTATACTCGTCCAGATGGCAGGCAGCCAATCCAGGCCCTTGTAGATTCTTTTCTAGATTTCTCAATCTAGAAAAGTAACAGGACTGAGAGAGGCTCTCACTGCAAACGAACCCGTGCAAACCAGGCGCAACTGGGGGTAAGACAATCGTAGGAGCACTGGAAGGTACATACGATACCTTCCAGCGAGAGCGCTGTACGTTCCTCTTTGTATTAAGAACTATATAAAAAAGTGTCTCGGAGTTTCATTTTGATCCACCGAATTATCGAGGATTATATGTAAAGATTTCGAAATTTCGCTGTGGAAATTGGCGAAATTGGCGCTGTTTGGCGAAATTGGCGCTGTTTTCCATTCAACAAACAATTGGTAGTTGATCAGCTGTTGTTTAAGATGACTCAACCCAGTTTGCTTTTATCATCTGTATGAAGATCCGGAACTAAACATGGGTGTTGTTTATAGCTGTTTACTAGAAATGAGAATAGTAAACAGCTATAAACAACACCCATGTTTACAATTGGCTTGGTTTTTCCATCGGTTGCTCTTTAACATTCTTCGGATGGAGTTTTCATTTATATTGAAGCTCCGTATCTCTTATCATAGCTATAAACTTGCCTGTCTCCATTGAAGTTCATACATAAATCTCTTATGACTCAGAAGAGATTTATGTATGAACTTCAATGGAGACATAAGGTCATAAGTTATGACCCAAAAGTTAGCATATTGTTTTTCAGTCCAGATTCAATTGTATCAGTAAGTTTTGTTCGAAATATTTCAAGAATAGTTTTTGCATAGAAACATCCCGTTTTATATTCAACATATGCTTCTTCTCCTTGTGATATTTCTTCTCTTATACAAGAGATCAAAGGGTACATATCAACTAGAGATGGAGAGATGGAATCATGTCAGCTATGAACAAAGAAAATATGTAATGTTATCTATATAAGGTAACAGCAGAAAATAGTGTGAATATTACTTAAGAATATATGGACTCATCACCTTTCCATTCTTCCCATTATTCAACTTTAGCATAATCGGTTTGTCTTCTAGTATGACACATATAGTAGCGTGAACAAGCCTTAGCTGTCCTGATAGAACAATCCTTATATCAAAGCGAGAATTGTGATTTAAAGTCATCAAAATGATAAACTGACAGACAAAATCTACAATAACCATAGAGTACTTAACTCATATTGGGTTGTATCCCAACTAGTGCTTTTAGGACAAATGTTGGCATCATTAAAACAAATCATTTTCTTGTTCTATGAAATGATCTCTCTTAAAAGAGTGAAATGGGGTTGATTTTCAATCATCGTATCGTAGTACAGCTTGCAATATTTCACAAATGTGTATTTACCCCAGACTCGGGGTCATTACAATAACAAAAAATTTGGGCTTTGTGGGTATAACCTGCCAATATCAGCCCAATCCTCCGCCTGGTTCAGATGGCAGGCAGTCGATCGAGGCCCTCGTCGATATACAGTACTACCTTCCAGCGCTCCTGGGATGGCCTTACTGAGTAAGGCCATCCCAGGAGTAAGGCTTAGTCCCAGTTACGCCGGGATTTGGACGGGTTCGTTTGCAGTAAGACTCGACCTCTATCTGCAGCAAAAGCTTCAGCTGACCAACGAGTACTTCCACTGAACCTTGACCTGCTCGAGTCTACAGGGTGAGGAGTCTCTCCCTGTAGACTCCTCACGTCGGTCCACCATCATTGGTTCTAAAGTTCATGAAGTCCTAAAGTTCACGCTATGGCCTACCTGAGGTAGGCCATAGCTTGAGCGAGTCGTAACTGGGAGGTAGCCTACCTCCCAGTTACGACTTCGGTCCCCCGTCCTGTTTCGCGGAATGTCCATCCTTTGCTTAGCATTTCTATCGTGAGGTCGAGAGAGATCATGGACAATTCAAATAGAAAACTCTACTAGAATATTTCTTTGAGTACATTGTATCTGCCGACAATAGGTGAAGCGGTCAGAGATACCTTTACCACACATTTTGTAAAACAAGAAAAAGTACGGGAAAGTTCCATAACGTAAGAAGAAACCAAATGGATCGCTTCACGCTGTAGAATAAGCACTACTCTACCTCATATATCATCACTACCTAGCTCCGTTGTATGAAAACGATGTAACATAACTATTAACATCATATGATATGAATGTTTGCGATTAGATTGCACAAGAAAGTATTTTTATGTAGTTAAATGAAGCATGTTGAACGAAATAATCTGTACTTTAATATAAAGAGAATGATATTAAGTGTTGCATAGTGTGGTTTTCACTCATTTTGTCATCAACATGTAAAATTTTGTCTACATAGTTTCATATAAATAAAAATCTAGATAAGAAAAATGTTGAGATCATTCACTTAATCTCCATATTTGAAGATTTTTGGTTTCTATACTCCACTTTCATTGAACAGATTGAGTGAACATCTCTAGCTCATGTTTTCACATCCATGTTAGGTATAACCTACTTTGAAGTGGTTCTACGATTAAGGATTTATTTTGGCTGTCGCCCTTTTAGATATCTTCTCGTCATCAACTCAATTATACTTTAGCTTATACACCTACTTGCAATCAATCAAAGCATAATTCTTTGGCAGTTCCCCGAACTACCAACTCTTGTTATACACCAACGACTAACTCTCACGCTCCATAGCAGCATTCAACTCAAGTTTATTGACAGATACTTGAACTTTGCAATATGAAAAAGATTATAATTCTTCCAAGATCAACGCAATGTCATCTCATCAACATACTCCGTATCAATATCACAATTTTAAAGAATGGTTGAATTAGTTCATAATCTATCTCTTGCAAGAGCTTTACTAATCTGATTCAATTATGTCCTAGTAGAAAAATCTAGTTGATCTCTATCATGTGATGTTGTAAGATCGATTGTTGTATGTATGAAGTGATTGTTAGAAGTAGCCAATGAGTTGATCATGGTTAATTTAGTTCTAACTAATTTTAGCTAATTATAACTAATTTTATCTAGTTATGACTAAGTTTAGCTATCATGTATACACTTGGTAGGAAAAATTAGTGAAGTTTTAGAAGATTTTACTTAACGCTTTTTTTTCTTTGACAAAAGTCTAGAGTTCAAGAGATAAGATTTTTGACTATATAATTAGTTTTGATTGCTTTGACGAAATAATGAAAACTTTATTAGTTATAATAAACTTAAAGTTGACTTAGTGACAAATAGAGGTTCTAGAAGTTTGAAAGTCTCAAATGACATCTTGCCACCTCAATCTAGGTATTAGAAAACTTGTAGAAGGTTTAGATAAGCCAATGACATGTTGCCACTTATTGGGAACTAATCAAACATACCATGATTTATCTTTGTAAAAAATAACTTAGATAATAATTATCATTTGTTACTATGGTAATTTCTCAAGTAAAGAGTAGACTCTCAAACAAGTTTGAAGAGTTCATTTGTGTGAGAACTTGTTTCAGTAATATAAATTTGAGTTTTAATATATCTTTTGGAATGATATCTCGGATCGATGAATGTTGTAATTGAGTTATGAATGGAATGAACTTGCAAGATGATGTTTTAAACACAAACACCTGAAAGAATTTTTACCTTTTAGAACCATGATTAGCTATCGATAAGAGATTTGAGGTGTGTCTATTTGGTATTTGAGTGACAGTCAGCCAAAAGTTACAGTGCAAATATTTGGGATTCATCAATGATAACCTGCTTCTCTAATAACTGAAGTTCAAGAATTTGCTTCATTTGTATTATAGTTTTTCCTTGTATCACATTATCATTCACATATGATTCAATCTTTCCCTCAACAACATACCTAAGTGGAGATTTTTTCTTGTCAGTCCAAGGAGTCTTGAAACTCTTTTACTCTTTCAATGATCAGAATTCACTACAAAAACATCTTTACTGATAATAATTTTACATGCTATTGGATCGCAGAGTCTTTAATCCTTCACACCACTAATATATCCAAGAAAACTAAACTTCTTGGATGTAGTATCTAATTGTATTCTCTTTAGATATGAGAAAATAAACCGTATAACTAAAAATTTTCAAACAATTACAATCAGCCATCTGTTTGTGACTCAATTCAAATGGTGTTAAAAAATTGATTGCATCAAATTGAAAAAGGTTTATCACATATATTGTGGTATTGATAGCTTCAATCTAAAATTTATATGATGAATCAAATTGACTCAGAATAATATACTCATTCTCCAACATTGTTCGATTGAGTCTTTTTAGAACAATATTTTGTTGCAGAGTAAAGATCGTTATGAATTGACGTGTAAATCTTTACTCTTTGCAATAACTTCAAAACTATTAAAAAGTACATCATTTGCCATTATTCAAAACTAAATATCTCATCTTTATATAACGTCTGAGTTTTAACTTTTGAAAATTGTAAATACCTTATACTTGTTTGTGAAACAATGAAATCAAATAACTTTTTGGTAATCATTAGTGAATGATACATAGTAAAATTTATCAAAAAGTGAGGCTTTTGGAAAATATCTCCACACGTCACTATGTACATATTCAAGTAACTTTTTGTAACTATGACTCTTTGTAACATCAAAGATTTGACGATAATACTTGTCTATGATACAAAAAATTAGACAACAATCTTGCAAAATTATAAGTCAATTTTACAAATGCCAGGTAACAATCTACTTTTGCCCAAAAGAACATATTACTCATGGGTTGTAGCATAGAATGCCACACATGAGACATCTTAACTCAAGATCTAGTTAAGTTCTTTATATATAGGTTTATTTTTTTATAGATAATATTGTACCTTAGCATACATAGATTGCTGTGCTTATGAACTTTAAAAATAATCTTGTCAAGTGCTTTAACCTCAAACATTCCTTTCGTAGAGCTCGAGTCATGTCACTTTGAATCTAACACTATAAGAAAGATAAGGTTTTCTTTCATATCAGGTAAATCTAACTTGAATCAATGTATGTTGAACTACATCATAC